TCCTTTCAGTTCGTAAGCATGTACGGAAGACCGTCTTTTGTAAACGGTTCTCCTTCTTCCTTGACCCAGGATGCTAAATCCTTCCAATTTGTAAAGATGTGATCAATTATCTTTTGTAAACGGTTCTTCTTCTTGGATCCAAGAAGATAAATCATTCTAGTTTCCAGTTTGTAAAGATGTGGGGAATGCCTCTTTGTGTTAGCGGTTATTCTTATTCATGAACACAGGACGCTAAATCCTTCCAGTTTGAAAGGATGTAGACAGGGCATTATTTTGTAAACGGTTATTCTTCTTTTTGGACGCAGGATTCTAAATCTTTTTAGTTTTTGAGAATGTAGTGAAGGGCTTCTTTTGTAAACGGTTCCTCTTCCTTACTCCAGGAATCATCCCAATTTATAAAGATGTAGACAATCCCTTCTTTTGTAAACGGTTCTTCTTCCTTCTGTATTAATTACGTTAAATCCTTCCAGGTTATAAGGATGAGAGGAATTTTGTAAACTTTTCTTCTTCTTCTTAGATCCACGAAGATAAATCATTGCAGTTTGTAAGGATGTGTGGAAAGCCTTCATTTGTAAATTGATCTCCTTTTTTCTGGATCTTGGACGATAAATCCTTCCAGTTTGTAAGGATGTGGGGAATGGATGCTTTTTAAAGAGTTCTTCTTTCTGAATCCAGAACGCTAAATCATTCTAGTTAGTAAGGATGTGGGGAATAGCTTCATTTGTAAACGGTTCTTCTTCCTGAACCCATGAAGAATAATCCTTCCACTTCGTAAGGATGTGGGAATTGCCTTCTTTTGTACGCGGTTTTTATTCTTGGATCCAGGACGCTAAATCCTTCCAGCTTGCAAGGATGTATGGTACTCTTTTGTAAATAGTTCTTATTTCTGGATCCAGAACGATAAATCCTTCGATGTTTAAGAGTGTGGGGAATGTCTTTTTTTGTAAAAGTTTTTTTTTTCTTCGGTAGATCATTCCAGTTTGTAAGGATGTGGGTAAACACTTCTTTTGTAAATGGTTCTTGGATCCAAGACGCTTAATCCTTCCAGCTCGTAAGGATGTGAGGAATGCCATCTTTTTTAGCCGTTCTTCTTCTTCCTTGATCCAGAACGTTAAGTACTTCCAGTTTATAAGGATGTGGTAAAAGTCTTCTTTTTCCTTTCTTCTTCTTCCGGTATCCATGACGCTAGATCCGTCTCGTTTGTAAGGATATGTGAAATTCATTCTTTTGTAAACGGTTATTCTTCTCCTTGCTGGATTCGATGGGATACTGTTATATAAGTATAAAGTGTCACTGCCGACACTGGAGTTTGAACACAGATCACCAGTGAGCAAACACACGTGATTCCATTTCTAATAAGTAGACCACGTGATGGTAAAGGAAATGTATATAGTGGAATTAGCGTGGCGTCTAATTGATCACTCTTTCTATTATATCCTCTATTACTATACGGATCACCATTTCTACTCTATCCTCTATTACTATACGGATCACCATTTCTACTCTATCCTCTATTACTATACGGATCACCATTTCTACTCTATCCTCTATTACTATACAGTTCGCTATTCTCTAAAATATTTTCTGTACTATTTCTCTACACTGATCACTGTACAGGTTACTATTCAGTGGTTACTTTTCGAGCGCGTATTATCGAGCAAGTACTATTAGTGTGAGTGCTATTCGAAGGCGACTGACACATGTATTATTCAACGGCGTCACTATAGTTGTATCTGCAATTACAAAGTCTCTACTACAACGAGTATTACGAAAGTGATCAACGAGTATTCGTTTCCATCACAAAAGCGGCAAAGAGTGTTCGTTGACATCACAAAAGTTACAATAGGTCTATTTTATTTATTGTTAATAAATGTTTCTCAAAATAGTGGTTTTAAATTATCCTTCTACGTTTTGATCGACAATGTTCGTTTAAATATTTCCTATAAGTTTTGTTGAAATTGATCTGTTTTTTTTTTAGATATGTAAGAAAAACCAATGTGTTAAATACTTTTGCTACCCACTGTATATGTATGCAGTGACACTATTTCGCGGCAGACTTAAGAGAATCGCACGACACATCAGTGCTCCGTGCCATGGCGGTTGTGAATCACTGTACTAAATAATCGCAAGAAATAAAAAAAAATATCAGTGAAGTCATGAATATAATAATCATAGCATATAGGGTATCTATAAAGTCTCTTTACAATTAAAAAAAATTATTACGAAAACAAATGAACAGATAAGTACAAGGAAATTGTTACAAAATGAGTACATATTTAAGTTTTTTTTAACTAATACACTTCTATGTGGGCGCCATTAGTTGCACGAAGCACATCAAGACGTTACTCGATTTCTTGCCATGTTCGCTGTAGCATAGCCTCATCAATGGTGTCAATGGCATCAGTGATCTTTTGCATTAGATCAATGTATCATTGTTCGATACACGATATCTTTAACATAACCCCTTAGAAAGGAGTCTGTGTATCCGATTTTGTTTCAATAAACCATGACACACATTGGGCATTTTCTTGAGGAGTAGCCATTTTTAGGATTTCATTTAACAGTATCTCTTTTATCAACAGGATACCTGAAATACAATGTGATTAAAAACTTTAATAACTACTGAGTACATAGAAAAAAGCTGATTAAGATATCTCATCAATTGCCTTTGTAAAATATTTTTAAATTGTAAAGAGAATTTATGCCCATGCCTTTGAAAGAAATAATAAATGTGATTTTATTATATTACTTTTTAGTAATATTTACGGTCTTTTTTTCAGTTAAACTTAAAATCCGATAATTTTTTTTAGCGGGGGTGGGGGCTTCTAAAACGTATCATCACTCCTTGAGTTGAGGAAAATGTCTTCTATTTAAAAATAAATATTACCATTAACTCTTTAAGCCCTGACCACCGCTTTACCGGTGGTAGAGAAAAATGACGTAATGCCCAGTCATCGGTTGAACGGTGGGTAAACACTTGTAACTACTTTTATATTACATACCAATTATTTGTTAATTTTGACTTAAGAACTCAGACAGAAGGGTTACAATTGTTCAGAAACGCTCAAAGGGTTAAAAGAAACTTTTAGTAATGTTGGCTAGGTTTCTGAAAATGATTTGTGGGCGGGTCAGGATGTATTGCAATACAATAAGTAAAATGATATGAAAGAATGAATTTATCATGCACGAATTAGTCATATCAGTTGTTCGGAGATATTCGTCTTTCAATGGAAGAATGATTTTGAAATGTTTGTATATTCTATTGATTGTTTATTAATTTAACTCAATGCCTCCGTTGTTTAACTCGTAGTAACTCGTAGTAGGAATTGAAAAAATTGAATTCGGGGAGTGTAAGGCTGATGACAATAGATTTAAGGGGAAGCAGATTTCTAACGGAATATTCTTGTACTCTTATTGACCCTCACTGAACAAATTTTGCAATCATTGCCATAACTCCCCAGCTATTTAAAATCCTTAACAGATTTAATTTCTTCTCCATATAGAGGATGTGAGTCCAGATGAAATCTTTTCAGCTGTGATAGTCGTACTCTCTGCCTTCGGGCAGAGAGGAACCTGGACGAGGCTATGCTAAAGGGCAGAGTCTCGTTCGGGTAGGTAGACCGACCCTGAAACCGTTTATACGGGTTCAAAGAGAATATTTTTGGCCGAGCCTACGGGCTCAGGGAACCCACGATAAACTCTGCCTTGTGCCACATACGACCCTTGGGGGTCTGTTAAATATACCATATAGAAGATATCATCGCTACTCTGATCGAGGGCAAATAGATTTTAGAAGTATTGATGTACAGGCTGATCTGACTGACCACTTGCTCTAACCTATGAAGAATTCCTGCTTCTTTAATGTGATTAGGGGTAATGGCTAAATCATTTGTCTATCATACTGAGGCACCTTCTACTTTTTGTCTTGTGTAAAGGTAAAATCCAGGTAATTCTTGGCATTGAAGGCTTTTGCGAGCACAAAGTCAAGACTTAATAAACAAGTAATTCTTTATGACACCAGCAGTCCTACAAATCTCAATCTATGGTTCCACAGGATTTCAAAAACGGGAAGACTTTTGACATGCAGTTCCTTCTTTGAGAGGTTTTGATGCTATGAGATGTTAAGGGCATCCTGAAACATTCTAGTGTAAGCACTATTTACTATGTCAGAGTCCAGGTGAGTGAACCATAGACAAGTATGGCTTCAACAGCAGTATGAAAGAGGTCAATTCAATTTTAATCCTCTGGGTCCAGTTTCCATATCCTGTCAAGTTTGTTAGGAACACCCTAGGCTTTAGAGTTTGCAATATAACCCTCTAGCTATTTAAAATTTTGCCTTGTTTCAGGATAAAAACCAAATGACTCTTGGAATCGGTGGCTTTTCTGAGCACATAGTTAAAACCTGTAGTAAGCAAATAACATTTCTGGATAAGAAGCTGTTTGAGTGGAATTTCCTACTTACCAATGGTGTACGATGCGGATAACGATGAGTTGACTCCGTGTATGCGGCATGGACTGGTGGAACTGAGGGATGTGACTCGTCTGGACATCGAATATACAGAGTGTAGTGGTGATGGGGATGAGTCAGTCATATGTACATGATATTGCCGGTCCTAGATGTGAAGATCAATACTGGTGGAACTTAAGAATGTAGCTTATTTGAATATCTGCAATGAATATATTGATAGAATAGCAAAAGCCTTCGAAAAGGGGTTGAAGGATGGGCTAAAATTGTGAGACAAAAATTGATTCACGTAAGGGTTTGCCTTTGGGAATTCACTAATCTGAGCTTCGTCTGGAATAAGGCTACATGTGTAGGACACCTGATGAGTATCGAACTCAGTACTACCGAAATAGCCTGCTTCTCGCTTCCTTATAACCTGCACATTGGGATTTCCAATCAACAATTTCCAGCCTCGAATTCAAAAACGATTGCGCGGCTTTGTGGGTAATGAATTATTTCCTCATTACAACGTTTTCCCCAGAAACGAACGGGCTCACAGCCACACCACGTTGAAACACAAGTTCCCTTGCGATCACCGAAGTTAAGCAACGTTGAGTCTAGTCAGTACCTAGATGGGTGACCGCTTTTACCAGGTGCTGTAATTTTAGATATACGCGTGGCGTTATGGATAATGAGCCAAATTCCAGTTCACGTTGAGTTTGTTATATTCTCTTACGCACAAATACCCTTGGGAAAGGCATGAATCCACCTCTTACCCCAGCTATGGGTTAATTAGTATGGTGTGTATTACTAAGACCATTATTATCTAAAAAAATTACAGTATTTACATTAGTCGGACTATTGTCCTCATCTTTGTCGCCATATTTGTCACAACGTTTCGGCCGTTGTACGCTCCGGCCTTCTTCAGGTGGTTGGAATTTCGAACTGAACCCTTTATTTCGATCACTGGGGTAGACTGTTCTAGTTCCACGTGAAATGTTTTGATGGATGTCAGTTATCAGTTATCTCCTACTAATTTTCCCTCTGAAAGTTTTCCACTGCCTTAACCAGGTATTGAACTCACTTTCTTTGGGTCTGTCACTGGATCTAACCAACGCCTTTATCCACTGTGCCATGTGTCCTCAAGGACACATGGCACAGTGGATAAATTCCAACCACCTGAAGAAGGCCGGAGCGTACAACGGCCGAAACGTTGTGACAAATATGGCGACAAAGATGAGGACAATAGTCCGACTAATGTAAATACTGTACATAATACCTCATCTCAGAAATATAGACAAAAAAATTACAATCTAAAAATAATTTCTGGCTTTAAATAACCTGCAAAGCGTTGATTGATTGATTTTCTTTTTACGACTTATAAACCTTTCTCAGGATATTTAAAACCGGAACAAATTTTTAGACTGTTTTGGATATAATAATGATTTTCTGATACAAGTCTTATTATTTAACCCATAGATGGGAGCTGCATTGATAAGCCACAGAAAAGGAATCAATTATGTCCGCAGACGAAACGTTACTAGTCACTTGCGACTCTATCGCTAGTTTCATGGTAGATGTTACATTCCTTAGTTCCAGACCGGCCATGCTAGGTACACTGAATCGACTCATCCTTATTCCCTTCGTATTCCATTTGTGAGGAGCAAGTTCCACTCAGCTTCTTACCCAGAAGTGTTGCACTATAGAGCGAACTCCCAAAAGGATGCTTCACTGATCGCTACAATATTTGCCTCTTTAACGAGAGGGTCAACCGTTATCTATTCTGCATATCCTTATAATTTGCAACCCTTGCTTTCTCCCTTAAACCATCTCCATTCAGTAACCCGCTACCTTGAGTGGCACTTAGAACCTTGTGAATAATAGTAAAAAAAAATGTAGAAGAAATATAGCCTGAGAACTAGCCACTTACAAATGAATCAAAGTATCTTCCGTTATAAAACCACGTGATCAAAAAAAATGACTTGCACTACAGGTAAATTGTTTATAAAAAATTCCTTTCCACTTTGACGTCATCCGTGTTGTCCGTTTTCAAATTTACGATGTCATACTTCCGGAAGAATAAACAAAACGGATGAAAAAAAACAAGAGGAGAAGATGGCGCCACTTCGTGCCTCTTAACGGAGTGGCTTGAACACCGGATATAATTTTGACTCGTAAGGCCACGTTAATATTTAAATAAATGTGAAAAAAGAGCAAGGGAAGTGGTTGGGTTGAGAAAGAGAAAGCCGTGTTTGAGATTTTACTCTTTTGTTTTTAGTTTGGTGTTTTAAAAATCATATTGAGTTAAAGGATTATATCGACGATAACAAATGTTCGTTTCTACAAGCAGATGAAAGAGGAAAATATAATTAAAGAACGAATTATATCACAAAGAATAAAATAAGTTATAATTTTATTTCTTTTAATGCAAATAATGCCATCTTATGAGAGAGAGATATGAAAAAAGTTAGGAAGATAACATAACATGAATAACATACGACATGAATATAATAGATAGATAGATAGATAGATAGATAGATAGATAGAAACAGATGAAATAGATATACATATATATATATATATATATATATATATATATATATATATATATATATATATATATAGAGATAGATAGATAGATAGATAGATATGAAAAAAAAATGTAGATAGATAGATATGAATAAATAAATAAAGATAGATAAATAGATAGGGTACATAGAATGAAGAAAAAAGTGAAATAGATAGATAGATAGATAGATAGATAGATAGATAGATAGATATGAATAAACAAAGATATATAGATCTGAATAAGTAAATATATAAAGACAGATAAATAAATAGATAGGTAGATAGAATGAAAGAAAGTGAAATAGATAGATAGATAGATAGATAGATAGATAGATAGATAGATAGATAAGAAAAGAAAGAAGCGGATAAATACATACGAATAGAGATATATAGATAGAGATAGAAGTGGCTTGATTCACAAGAAGAATAGAAAGGGAAAAACAGCGTTACACTTGGTTCAAATTTATAAAATTTTTCCCTTAACACAATTTTTCATGAAAATAGACTTTTCAAATACAGAAATTGTTATCGATCTTTCTAGTACTGAAAAAAGTTTCCTTCCTTACATTTTGTTTAAGCTAGTCTCGAAAGTCAACATCTTCATTATATCATTTTTTTCCCAACTAGTTAAGTGTGCAACCCATTTTAGCTGCTGTTACTGGCATAATTCTGCAAGTCATATACATTTTTGTTATTTGGTAAAGTTCTTTATTTTTGACTGTGTAGCGACACGATATTTAATCTGATGAACAATTATCTCCTTGCATACCCGAAGAATTCATTCGCTTAAAGCCATTTTAATCATTGATAGGAAAAATGGGTTGTATATAAATGATAGGCTATTTGCCTTGTCACTCAGAGGACGAAACCCGTCGGCTAAGATAAGTTTTCCTTTTCTCTTTTCTTATATTGTATATTTATAGATATACTCTATCTGAAATGAGTATATATATATATATATATATATATATATATATATATATATATATAATAAATATATATATATATATATATATATACCTGAATGAATAAATTGCAGATATTATATCTGCTAATTCTTTAACGAAACCCGTTCATACACGCGAATAACCTTCCGTGTATTGATCTTAAAAGGATGAGAGAAATGTGCATTTTCAAATCCCAAGTACTTTCGATCTTCTTCCAAGATCATCTTCAGGGGTGCAAGTAGTACAAAACTATATGTTGTTCATTAGTATAAGTATTATACAAAGTTGTACGTTGTTATCCATTACCGTAATTTTTTCATTATGCGTTTAAATGCAAAATGGTTGACAATTTGTCAAGCGTTCATTAGAACGTAAAAAAATTATCCATTATGGAATTTTTTTTTCATTTTATAATGTCATGGCCATGCGCACATTGAAGCGCGAAAAAACTCTTCCTTTACAGGTATTTCTGAATATTACTGCAATATTCATAATTAATTCTGTTCAGTGCAGTAATATAAATTGCTTCTAGCATCTGTAGTCTGAATTTGTTATTTTCTTGGTGTAAGATACTTGTGTTGTCGATTAGTAATGTTTTATATTGTGAATGTGGTAAAGAATGTTGCTGTAGATGTCTCGCAATGGACAACAATATTGTTTAGTATTGTATTAATATCTTTTTATACTTTATCTGAATGTTCTTCAGCTATAAATGATATTCTATATATTTCCGAAGGAGGTGACGCCATGCATTACACCCGTATGGAAATCTAGATTTGGCAAGGCTAATTAAGAATATAACTTGAGTTTTCGGTTTATTGTTTTAGTTTTGGAGTATTTAACTGTTTGGGCCATAAGTGCCCCTGGTGCAAATTGTTTTGTGCTAAATTTTTTAGCCTTTGTGTTCTCTTAGGATCGTCTCGCTATACAGGTTTCTTTAATCAGGTGAAAAAGTCGTCCTTCTCTTCATTCTCTTTTTCTGTTTTTTTTTTCTCTCCGAATATTTGGGATGAGGAGTTATCATTATTTAAACGCGAATTTTTTAACAGAGGATGGAAATTGTGGCTCTGAAATCCGGAGGCGCATTGGGATAGCCAAAGATGCTTTCCAAAAGATAAGCAGAGTATGAAGAAACAGGAAAACTTCGTTAGAAACAAAATAGAGACTAGTGAACTGTTATGTGATATCTGTCCTCCTGTAAGGCAGTGAATGCTGGACAATCTCCTCAAAGATTGAAATTTCTCCCCATGCATTAAACTTTGAATTACTGACGCCAATAAAGTCAACGCTTTAACCCACGAGATTAGTGACAATACATGATCAGCTATACATAATTTCATTGTTTTACCCATAATTACGTATTTTCGTTGTTGCTAATTCTCTTTCCCTTTTTCGTCTGTTCACTGAAGTTGTTCTCTATCCGTTTTGGGTACGGATAATTCGAATAGATTCTGGTAAACAATTCAAAGATCCCTTCGATATTTATTGACTATTTTATTATTGTTAAGGGGTCCACCCCTTTTTCATACAGGTGGACTCGCCCGGTATGTACTTGTACTGCTGCCGGTGAATACCCGGAAATCAGTCAGAGTAAGACAGTGAAAGAGTGAGAGAGTGAAAGTGAGAGTGTGAGGTAACCGCTTTGTAGGAGTCACAGTTGCGAGCACGTAGACTCAGAAGGAAGTCCTACTTCGATACTGAATTTCCCAGACTTTATATATATTATTATTGCTACTAACCGCATTTCTGGATCTACTAACCGCATTACCAATTGTATTATTACGTCAATACATTTATTTGCTATATTTCATTCCTGCGTTTGTCATTCATTTGAGACCGGATTTCATCTCGGAATCCACAACAATTATATTGATGCCAGTGTTGTTTTACCAAGATGGAATTCCAAAAATCCTGGAGACGATGGCGCAATGTAATGTCAAGGAAGGAAAGTGCAACACCGAAATCCGAGGGCGCATTGAGATAGCAAAAGATGCTTTCCAAAAGCTAAGCAAAATATTAAGAAACAGGTACATCCCGTTAGAAACAAAGAAAAGAATAGCTAACTGTCATGTAATATCGGTCTGCCTATATGGGAGTGAATGCTGGACAATCTCCTCACGGATAAAGAAAAGACTTGATGCAAGAGAAATGCTGTTCAATAGAATGATGCTGAGAATACCATGGACTCTTATATTTAACATCAAAAAAATGTCTAGGGCACATGAGGAAAGAAGGCTAAGAAAATTAGATACTCACAGGACAGATTGAAGTCAAGTGGGACAGAGGAAAACAACGAATAATTTACCGAACGAATTTGTATAACTGGATGGCAGAACGGAATTTTTGAGAGATAACAAAAACGCAAAATTGAACTACAAAGGACAGGGATTTGTAGAGAGGCATGTTCACCACGGCGTGAAGAGACACGTCACATAGAAGAAGAAGAAGAAGAAGAAGAAGAAGAAGAAGAAGAAGAAGAAAGAGGAGTAGGAGCTTGTGTAAATGGTTGGCAGAAGAAAGATTACGAGAGATAGCGAAAAGACAAAATTTAATAAGAGCTACAAAGGACAGAAAATTGTGGAGAGCCATGTTCGCCTACGGCCTGAAGGGATACGGTACAGAGAGGTGGAAAAATAAGCTATTACTTAATTTTTATTAAAACACTGAACATCTTCAGTACCAAGCTGTTTAGTCTGCACAGATAAATAAATGTTTTTATTAGAATACAGATTATCGTATTGATAAACATGAACGGTTGTTGAAATGTTTTGTTTCTTTTTTGTTTTGTTTTTAGTGAAAGGATTAATGCATAATTCCTGCAGATTGGAGGTTAAAGCCCAGATTTATTTACAGGCGAAATAATTTGCACGGGATGGAATACAGGATGACCAGCTTATTTTTTAAGTCTATATAGACATTAATTTGGGTGGTTGCAAGTAAGCAGCCGTCAGAAAAAAAAAGTATATTGCCACGATAGGTCAGAGAATACTTGACCTTCTGTAATCATTCTGGCATTGTGCTGACGAAGCCCATTACAATAATATAATCAAAACATAACGTTTCTGGGCATCTCACTATCTGGTGTAATTAACAAGCTGCTATCACAGACGATTTTTACCTTTGGCCCTCCGTCGGATGAAGCTAAGTTGTTATCTTCTGTGTGGCAAGTCGATGAACCTATTTACCACGATATATATATTATTAAAGCAGGGGGTTACAGGGAGTGAAAAAGAATGAGAAGACTTTAGTGGGAAGGATTGAGGGAAGGACAATAAAGGAATAGTATTCAAGCAAACAAAAGATGGCGATTGACGTTGCATTTAAATCTTTGAAGATTGTAGTTAACAGGAAAGAAATCGGGAGTTCCACAGGTGTGAAGTGCGAGAAAAGAAACTGTTAAAGCAGAAGTGGTGGTTGCTTCTTTACAAGTTCCACAGCAAAACGGTGAGGCTTTCTCACTGCGCTGCCATTCTCATGGGCACGCTTAAATCCATGGAGTCGGGCACCAGGGTAAAAAAAAAAAAAAGCTTATCTGAACATTTTCCATGAAAATATTTGTAAAAAAAAAATAAAAATAAAAAAGACAGAGGGAAGCTATGTGATGTCGGTAAAATCTTAAATATGTTAAGGCGACTACCACGTATGGTCGGATCTAGTAGTAGCTGGTATCATAGATTGTTATGATCGGTTCGATCCCCAATTAGGCTTAAGAAGCAAAATTCGTTTGATTCAATCCTCATTTAGGATTCTGTTGTCATTCCTGTACGAGGGTTGACGGCCATATCATGTTTAAACACCGATGCCCAGAATATCACCGAAGTTAAGCAACATGGATCCAGGTCATTATATAGATGCTGAAATCTTGGATGTGCGGGTGACCTAATGGATAAAGAATTGGAAAACGGAAACCTGAGTTCCAATTCCAGTCGGGTTTGTTATATGAATCTGCCTCTTCTCACCTTCAGATATGAGTTAATTACTAGGAGTTGCAAATAATTATTTTGTCCAAAAGATCCTTACAATTGAGAAATATTTTCAGGCTTTAAATGATAAGCCATAAAAATCGATCAATGAATTAAAATCCTGTCCAAGGATACAGAAAACCATCATTTTTTTTCTGAAATACAATAAATTTTGAAGTAACATGATTTCGGGATTGATAAGTTTAGGGAAATAAAAAATGGCACATATAACAGCGAGACAGACAGAGAAAGAGGGAAAAACGCTGAGATAGATAGATAGATAGATAGATAGATAGATAGATAGATAGATAGATAGATAGATGCAAAAAGACTGAAATAGATTTGAACAGACTCATGGATAGATAGATAGTTAGATAGATAGATAGATTCAAACAGACTGAAAATAAATAAAGAGAAAGATATATATATATTCATTTATATATATATATATATATATATATATATATATATATATATATATATATATATATATATATATATAGAAAGAGACATACAGACTAATATAGAATTGAACAAAACGTAATAGATCGTTAGAAATGAACTGTTATATATATATATATATGTGTGTGTGTGTGTGTGTGTGTGTGTAATTTCTGTATATATTATTTATATATTATAGATGCGCGGTATCTATTGGAAAGCGCAATTTATCAGTGATGAAGCTAATATACTTAGTTGTATTGATGTGAGTTTTTGACCCTGTTTTTCACGCCAGTTTGTCTGACGTTCGCAAGGGCGTGAAACCAAAGATCACAAACTCATATCAATACAACTAAGTACACACACACACACACACACACACATATATATATATATATATATATATATATATATATATATATATATATATATATATATATATATATATATATGTATGAAAATTTATAGCGCCAGTACGAATTTTGAACACTCTGATCTGCAATTTTTTCTTCAGGCAAAGAGAGTGGTATTTAGAGAAAACTCTTGGATATCACTGCAGTACCTTTTCTTTTCAAGTCATCGGCGATTTTGGCTTTCCACAATTTCCATTTCTATACTCTCATGACGTTTGGGGAAAGATAGTAGATTGGTTTCCGTTTGACTTCATGGTTTTGAGTTCAGAGTAGTCCTTCTCCTAGAATAGTTGCCAACCAAGGCTAGAGAGCTCAATATATCCTTTTATTTAACCTTTAGCTTGTTGGGGGGGGGGTGAGAAGAGATGGATTCATAACTTTTTCAAGGGCATTTGTACGAAAGTGAAAGACTTTCTGTACCAATAACCGCTATGCTACCTCCACTTACTGAATAGAAATTCACTTGACAAAGACCGAACCAAATAACAGCCGAAACAAAGTGATAAAAACAAAAAAGATGAGGATATTCCATGGCAAAATTATTTGGCTGATGACAATACGTCATTTCAGCATTTCACAGAAGATACGAAAGATTTTATAAGCACATGAATGCACTTAGAGGTCAGGGTTAAGAATATCAGATGTAAGTAGCTTATCAACAAATTCGAAAATCAATGGATTTGAACAACGACATATTTACTACTTATTGTCACTATATTCTGATTTTTTATTGAAAAATGTTATGTCATTGGTGGAGCTCAATGACTATCAGAAGATCTAAGTGGAGTCAGCGAACCAGGTTCCAATTCTAGCAAAGGTCGTTCATATTCACTTCATACTAATAGCCTTGGAAAAGGTATGAATCCTCTTTTTCCAATAGTCAACCTTTATCTTTCCTATATATCCCTATAATCTACACATTGCACCTTTTTCTCTTACGTTTATGGCCCTTTCCTTTGAGTGACTCCTGCACCTTGTATTGGGTGAAACATTAGCAAAAGTAAAAACTTTGTACTGCAATCTATCATATTCTGCATTCAGGGGAGAAGGGCTCTGCCACGTAATTGTCTTACGAAATACCACGAAGAACGAAGCTTACTAACTTTCAAAGATCCACTCGATAGTAGGACAACTGCATTTGATTAATGACATAATTTACACCTTTACTGGGGACTAAAGAATAGATCTCGTGATCCCAAACCCATTTCTCTAACAATTTCTCTCAGAAACATTTGTTCATTATTGAAGATTACCGAGACAGTACAAATCACTAGTAGTCTCCATTCTCCTATATGGATGTGAAACGTGAACACTGTTGGCAGGAGAAGGAGCCAAGCGTTTGACGACAAATGTATGTGAAAACTCCTTGGCATATTCTATTGGGAACATAAAACCAATGAGTTTGTGAGGAAAAGGGTTGAAACTTTTGTGGGCCACTAGAAACCTCTTCTCGCCACTGTGAAACGGAGGAAAATGGCTTTGTTTGGACACATTACAAGGCACGACAACCTGTGCATCAGATCATTTTTTAAGACAGGGTTGATAGTGGACGTAGGAGAGGGCGCTAACGTAAAATCTGGTTGGACAATGTCAAACAATGTACAGGTATGACTATACCAGAATTGCTGATGGCTGCCGTTGATAGACCGTTGTAGAGAAGATTCAATATGGCTTCTGCATTCGGACTCCGCCCTCACCTACGTTTACAAAAATTAAGGGGATGATGATGATGATGATGATGAGCGTGAAGCGTTTGACTTGAGATGCATTTAGTAAAACCGCCCTCGAACGGACAAATAATTAAATCACAACTGATCTGTCGTTGTATTTTATTACTATTTATTTTATCATTATTTTGTAATAAGATAATCCGTTTCGATTCCAGTTGGTAAGAGGCGGTGACCCGACTGTTACGGCATAATCCCAGATTACGGAAACCATTGAGATTAAAAGAATATATACTCGGGGGATACGAATCAATCAATACGTCTATGTCACTCATTCGAGATCTATCAATCATTACGTCTGCCTACTGACCTACCTACTCTCTCTCTCTCACTCTCTCTCCCTCTATCACTCTCTCTCCCTCTATAATTTTCTGTTTGTCTGTCTGTCTCTCTCTCTCTCTCTCTATGTTTGTTTTTATCTATCTATCTCATCCTATTTGTATATATATATATCAGTCTACCTAGCTATCCATTTCAGGCCATACTTTATCTCTATCTATCTATCTATCTATCTATCTATCTATCTATCTATCTCTGTCTGTCTGTCTGTCTGTCTGTCTCTCTCTCTCTCTCTCTCTATATATATATATATATACATACATACATATATATATATATATATATATATATATATATATATATATATATATATATATATATATTCGTATATAACTCAGTCTGTTCTTACTATCTACCTATCTGAGGCTGTTCACATCTATTTATCTGTCTATCTAATTCAGTCTGTTTACATCTATCTATCTATCTATCTATCTATCTATCTATCTATCTATCTATCTATCTATCTATCTGTCTGTCTGTCTGTCTGTCTGTTTCTCCAAACGCCTAAACACAACTCTAATACAACTCCTTCATAGTCAGCCTATGGACATTTCAGCCCACATTCGTACATGGAAAGAAACAATGCAGATTTGGATTTATTGCATGTGAGATTGCACAGCTCTAGTATCACTCCTTCATAGTCAGCCTACGAACTTTTCAGCCCACCCACGTATGTATATGTGTGTGTGTGCGTGTGTGTGCGTGTGTAGAGAGAGTGATAGTTTGTAAAGGAAACCATTGTAGGGAAAGAAGGAGAAAATTCCGATAAATATATTGATTGAGAAAGCGATTGAAAAAAAATAACGAGATTAGAACAGATCGACGAAGGACACATTGATTAATCGTGATGCTGAAAATAGGAAAGGAAAGAAAAAGACAGGCAAAAGCTGAGAGAGAGAAGGAAGGAAGATAGGGAGAGAGAGAAAAAGAGATAGAGGGTGTAAGATAAACAATGGGATGTTGCTTCTATCATATCAGTAATGGTGTAATGCCACTGAAGATTATCTCTGATGTATGTCATTCCCTCGGGGTGGTTAATTTTCGATAATCCATAAAAAGCTTCCACGTTTAAATTCTAGGCGTGTCTTTGTCGGCAGATGTCTTTCATTTTGTAAACACCGCTTTCTGTTTTAGTATCGTCTTTCTTACTTATTTTTCCACTTTTACTTTTGTTTTTTTAATACCCCTAAGTTTTGTTTTTTAATCATTTCACTCCGTGCAAGGTAGTAAAGCCACTAAGACAAAAGGGGTTTACTGGGGGTGAAATAATAAAGAAAAAGAGAGACATTATTAAGGAGCGAGAAAATGAATCAGGAAGACAGTAGATAGCGATTGACATTGCATTTGAATTTTTGAAGATCAAGTTTGATTGTGAAGCACGAAGCCGGAAGAGAGTTCCACAAGCGACTAGTGCGAGAAAAGAAACTGTTAGCATAGAACTTACGGTTACATCTAGGTATTCCAACTGTAAAATGATGATAGCTTTCAGCCAATCTAGTACACGCTTAAATTCATAACATCTAGGTACCATAGCGAAAGGTGATATTTATTTCTATAATGATAGAAAATGTGGCACAAAGCCAAAATGGGGAAAGGACGGTCTTCTTCTGTCTTAACTTTAAACTTAGCTACCCACAAACACTAACCCAATCATACAACAATATTCCTAAGACCAAAACCATTCTTATTTATCTTTCTCACTACACACACCGTAATACCTCATTGTCTCTATGAAAATCCTAACTAGTCCCCATATGTACAATTCATTGTCTGTGGAGGGAGTGGAATAAAACAACAATTTAAAAACTAGCCCCAATGAATATTTACAATATGAAAACAAAACTATTTACAAGAAACCAAAAATAATGTCAGTAATAAAAAAAACTACAAACATTAAATGTGGCAGAAACATCAGTTAACTGAACGAAATCAATGCAGGACTATAATAATATAAAAACATTCATTCATCCCAAGCACTCACACAAACACACACTCAAACAAACACAACAACAAATACGAAAAACACACCCGAAACGAAATGCACCCCGCATCCACCAGAGAACTGACATCACTAACCGGCTAACGAGGGAAGGAATGGGGGAATTAAACTAAAAAAAAATAGGGAGAGAAACATAAGGGAGGGCAATGCACAATTCCCATAGAGAAGAGTTCATTCGAACAGTTGCCATGAATATATTTATAGAAAAGGCACAGAGAGGCAACCTTACGGCAGTGGGAAAGTAACTGACGCCGAGATGCCAGGTCAGGACCAATAATATTGCTGGTTCCTGCTTGGATTTTATCAAAAATCTCTATTGCCATAACTGTTATTTAGGAAAGTAACAGAGGAGTTTTACTTATCAGAGCCAGCGAACCCATTATACATGGTTATTTAACCCATACCAGCGGCCTAGGGATCGATCTCATAATACTATACCGCCAAATCCACGAGGCAACGCTTTAATCAACATGACAATTTACCCCTTTGTAGTATCGACTCAGACTCAATTACAACACTAGCAGTAACTGAGCAGTTTTCTTCTATGCGACGTGTCCCTTCAGGACTTGGCCGATCACGGTTCTTCACAACTTCCTGTTCATTGTAGCTCTTCGTTCTGTTTGTCTGTTTGCTGTCTCTCCTAATCCCTGTTCTGCTAACCATTTGCACCATCTTGTTAGGCAAGTTATTTGTTGCTTTCCTCCGCCCCCTCTGTCCTTCACTATTTTCTGTAGGTGTCAAACTCCCCAAGCAAAAGATGATATATCCCTAACCATAACGAAAACAATCTAGATTGAATAAAGAATTCAGTTCGAAACTCCCTGAAGAATAATTGGGACGACAAACACCTGAATAAGAGCGGAGGCTAGAAAGGCCGAAATGTTGCAATTATAACAACACAGATGAAGATATTAGTTCGAATAAAAATAAACAAAAATTCAGATAGGAATCGGTTTACTATTATTTAGGTACCTCCACGAAAACGCTAATAATCTGTACACAGTGATGAAAACATGCTTCAAATAAAGACATAGTTTTATCGTCTAAGTTATTATTAAGAGGAAAGATCAAAGTATTTTTTGATTATTTAATTCAATGTTTCACTCCTTTTTAAAACATTCGAAATTTTGATTAAAATTTTTTTCTTACTTCAGCGTAGCAAATTTTGGCCTCTTTTTTGAGACATTAATTTGGAAATTTTTGCAAAAATCAAATAATTGTAGGAATTTAATTAAATTTTCAGAACTTATTCACAAATGAATTAAATTATTTTTTAAACTTTTTTTATTAGAAAATCTTGGTAAAAATATATTTTTTACATGTGTTTCAGCCCTTTACTTAATTTTATGAAAGCTTGAGAAATTCAGCGAGATGATTTTTAGGACTATATTAGTTAAAAGTAGAATTCTTTGGAGAATTTAAATCACCGAATTTGTTTAGCAAAATCAGACCCGGTCTTACCTCAAATCTGTTCTAAATCGAAAATTTAAAAAAAAACGCAATAACCTAAGACATTATTTAATTAGAAAAGCTTTTAATTGTTTTTATGAATAATATATATTAAAAAAAAGATTGTCTTAATAAAAGAAATTTTCGACGAAAAATGAATCTTTGCAAGATTCGTTTTCATATTTTTACAATCTTAAATTGAAAAATTTATAGTTTTAAATCTTTTAAAATTCATTTTCAATGAGACAATTAGGAAATATTGTTAAGTAAAATTATATTTACTAATCATATATCGTAAAGCTTATTACAATCTGATCTAACCTGAGTAAAAAATAGAAATCGATTACACCCTGTCACTCCAATGGGTCTAAAACTGACCGTATGGTGAAAGAAAGGAAATTCAAGCAGTTGCTTCAATTAATTTGCACAATGTTGTATATGTATATAGGAGCACGAGGTTACAAGTCCGTCTGTGAGCTAATTAAAAATAACATGAATATACAACAAAGAGGTATATATAAATAGACTGATACTGAGATGTGAACACGCTATTATAGGCATATAATAAAATCGACACAAACACTGAGAGATCATCATCACCAGAGCTGTTTTGACTTGACGGCACATTGTAAATCAGTGTGATTTCTCTTCTTCGGTTTGACTGTTCGTTCCCAAGCATGTCCATCTGCTT